AAAATTTGGGACTTCAAAATCTCCAAAACGTCAAACGTTCACTACAGAACTACAAAGTGAGCAAGTGCAAACTCAGTCACAAAAATTCGCGCCAACTATAGCATTGAAATGGTATCCTTAGGATCTCATTGGCCGAGCGAAGTTGTTTGACATCTCTGCAGCCAATCACAATCAGTGTTAGAGATTACCCTTATAAATTAGTTGGTAAAGATTACTCTTATTGAGCGGTTGACATTAAAGATCACTCTTATCAATCAGTTGGTTGTAAAAGTACCCTTATTGATCAGTTGGTGGTAAAAATTACCCTTATTGATCGGTTGGTGGTAAAAATTACACTTGTTGATCGATTGGTAAAGATTACCCTTATACCTATGTTGCTTGTAAACATTGCACTTATTGATCGGATGGTGATAAAGATTACCCTTATAGATTAGTCTGTGGTAAAGATTACCCTTATAGATCGGTTGGCGTAAAGATTACCTTTATTTATCGTTGGGTGGTAAAGATCACTTTTGTTGATTGGTTGGTGGTAAAGATTACCTACCCTCTCAGATATGCTGGTGGTAAACAGTACCCATACTGATCAGTGGGTAGTAAATATCACCCTTATTGATTGGTTAAGGAGAAAGATCGGTTCGAGCTAGAGATTACTGTTGTCTATCAGTTGGTAAAGATTACCCTTATTAATCGCTCGCCCAAAGCGCAGGCGACCCGAACACTGTATCAGCAATAACATAATTTTTTACATTCATGTAAAATAAATGTACTGTTATTTACCTGCGTTCCTGGGTCTTTTTGAGCCGTTTCGAAGGAATTTGACTAGAGGCAAAGGCAGTTTACATTTCAAATATCGTCTTGTCTATGCCTCTAACGTAAATCTTCGAATTAGCGCCCGGGCGCTTATTTCAAATTTAGAAGAAGACGGGGGGCGCTTATTCGAGAAGAGCGTTTTTTCGAGGGGGTGGGAGGTTATTTAATTTCTCCCAAATCGTGACCTAACATGATTATTTTTTTTTTTAATACATCATTTTCTGTTTATTGACATAAAAGGCTGATCCTAAAGTGTAAATCGCGGCACCGTTAGTGCTTAACGTGTTCAACGTGTTCACTTAACGTGTTCACAAACTGAAACAATGTACAAATCTAATACCACATGAGGAAAACTATAAATCCTTTGTTGTCTCATTACTCGTCCACAAAATCGGGGGGAGGGGAGGGGGCGCTTATTCGAAGGGGGGCTCTTATTTTAAATTTTGGCCCATAGGAGGGGCGCTAATTCGAGGATTTACGGTATCTTCGTTAACTATTTACTCTCATCGGGCGAGTTTTCACTATCTTCATTAAAGGGGCTAGCTCACGCTATTTTAGGTAATTTCGTTTCATTTTGTTAATTATGAGCTCTAAACGTCAAGTTGGCAGAGAAAAAGTCCTTGATTTGCAAAATCACGGCCACATAACAACTGAGAATGATTTTCCAGCTGTGTAAATGACATTTTGATATAAACTGATATAAATTTGAAAAAAGGTGGGC